AGGCTACAAGCAGAACTATAGGTGAGATGACACCAGGGGCTTGAGTAGGTGCCTGGAAGCAACAAGTCAAAATCCTTCTGACTCTATGATCACTGCATCGGATCCTGCTTCAACCCTATGACTCTTTGGGCCATTTCCTGACTCTGCCTTTGTCTTGCTCCTGAACCTGCTTGTGAGTAACGCTCAGATTCTCAGACCCGGCTGGACAGACTGACTCTTGGACTGGACTCCTGACTCTGTGCTTAACTTTGGACTTGACGTTGACTAAGCTTCTTGACCTGGTGCTCATCTTAATTGCTCCACACTCTGGCTCACAACAGAAAACTCCAGTGTTTTCTGTCTGCTCTTTGGTTTGCTTCAGCTTGGCAGTGAATCAAAACAAAAAAGTTGCCACAGAAGAGCACTCAGAAAACACAGGGGGACAAGCAAAAAACAACAACAAAGCCAGCCCAGAAGCAATCAATTGCATGCAGAAGGGGGAAATGTGTGCTGTGCTGCTGCTACTATTTAGATATCTATATGAGGCCTGGGTGCAAATGTAATTGTGTTTAGAATGAAACCTGCTAGATGGGCCTTTGCTATCAGCACAATGAATGCACGAAAAGCTATGGCCAGAAATTTAAAAATTTACTCAGGTTCCTCAGACTCAGATTGTGCAGGCCTAGTGTGGGAAACGGAAGAGAGGTTGGCTATCTGGCTGGTGTACCAACCACCTAGCGCACCAGCAGATACCCTGCCGAGCCTGCTAGAGGCAGTGTCTGGCTGGGCCCTGGAGTTCCCCAGACTAATATTTCTTGGTATTTCAATGTCCATGCTGATGATAGCACCCCCTTGCAGGCTACAGACCTAGTGTCTTCCATGGCAGCACTGGGACCCTTTCAGATTGTATCAGGTCCCACACATCAAGCAAGCTACATGCTAGATTTGATCTTTGAACTGAGTACACCACCCCCTCCCTGCTTAGACGATGAAATGATTTACGCTTGCCCACAGAGACTGATGGATCCAATTGGTTTCCAGAATGCTTTGTGGGATCCGATGCCCCCTGGCAACTAATTGGATATGCTGGTAGAGGACTGGCATAGCTAATTGGATATGCTGGTAGAGGACTGGCATAGCTAATTGGATATGCTGGTAGAGGACTGGCCGATGCCCTCTTTGCCCCCCACTCCAAACTAGTACTTTGGTAGACCTTAGAGCTACATGGAATGAAATGGGAGCTGAGATGGCAAGAGCAAGTATGGTGGCAGACTCATGATGAAGGCTGCTAGAACATCTTCTAGGACATTTATAAAAGCCCATGAGATGGCAGTGAAAGATGCAAAGAAAGAATTCTACGCGACTGCCATTGCGTCCACGAGCTCTTGCCCAGCTCAACTATTTAGAATAATTAGGTCTTTGACTTCCCTTTCATAGGGAACCCAAAAAGTTTCTAATTCAACAATTTGCTGTGGGGCTTTCACGAGCTATTTTGCAGATAAAATCATGTCACTCTGCCAAGATCTGCCCACAAGTGTTGATACAGTATGTGAACTGGAGGCTCCTTGGCCGTCTTCCAGTCCAGAAATTGACAAATTCAGCTGGTTCTCCTGGGACAAGGTTGACAGGATCCTATGTGCTGTGAAGCCAACCACTTGCCTCTTGGACCGGTGACTGTCAAGGCTGGTGAAAGCCAGCAGTGATGGTATTCACCCCCCCCCAGTTGATATTATAAACTCGTACATGAGTTCTGGGACTTTCCCAGGAACTTTGAAGGAAGCAGTGGTGAGGCCACTCTTAAAGAGACCTTCTCTAGATCCCACTGATCCAGCCAACTACCACCCAGTCTTGAATCTTTCATTTCTGAGTAAGGTAGTTGAGAGAGCAGTGGTGGAGCAACTCCAAGCCTTCCTGGAAGATTCCTCTGTCCTGGACCGATTCCAATCCGGCTTCTCTCCTGACTATGGGATGGAGATGGCACTGGTTGCCTTCACATATGACCTCCATAGACTCTTGGATCAAGGTGGGTCAGCACTGCTGTTATTACTTGATCTGATGGCAGCGTTTGACACAGTCAATTATGATCTGATGACCCACCACCTCGCTGATGTGGGGTTACATGGGATAGCTTTGGAGTGGTTCGTATCATTACTCCATGGTTGAGGACAGAGGGTGGTGCTCAGGGAGAGGGTTTCATCACAATACCCTTTGGTATGTGGTATACCTCAGGGGCAATCCTCTACCCAATGTTATTTAACATCTATATGCACCTCCTCGCCCAGTTGATCTGGAGTTTCAAGCTGGGCTGTCACCTTTACGTTGATGATACCCAGCTATATCTGTTAATGGCTGGCTGGCGGGATACCGCCCCAGATGTTCTAGCCAGGGGTCTGGAGTCTGTGGTGGGTTGGTTGAAGCAGAGCCGCCTGAAATTAAATTCACTGAAGACGGCGGTCCTGTATCTGAGCCAGGGGAATGTGGGGTTGGGTGTCCAACTCCCGAATCTTGATAATGCATTACTGACACCAACGCCTCTCTATAGAGGCCCAAATCACAAATGTTGCCCAGCTGGCATTTTTTCACCTACACCAGGTCAGGCAACTGGTTCGCGTCCTCTCTTCCATGGATCTAGCTACAGTGATCCAAGCAATAGTCACCTCCAGGCTAGATTACTGTAACTCACTTTACACAGGGATACCCTTGAGACTGACCCAGAAACTCCAACTGATTCAGAATTTAGTGGTTTGTGTCCTCACTGGAACATCACTAAGAGCCCACATTAGACCAATGCACTGGCTCCAGGTGGAGTACCGGATCAAGTCCAAGGTATTGGTTTTTACCTTCAAGTCCCTATGTGGTCTGGAACCAACATATCTGTTGTGTATTGAGCCAGAGTAATCCCTGAACTAGTGCCTGGATCTGGTTGAGCTTATTTCCCCTGAACAATAGCTTACTAGGATCCTGGAGTAGACCAATAGAGAAACAGTGTGTAAATAGCCTATCGTTGGGAGTGGGGGGTGTTTGGGGTGTAGTGATTGCATGCTTAAAAACAGGGCAGCTGCCCTGGAGTTTGTCCTTGTAGTGTTCCTGAAATCACTTAATAAAGTAGAGCTGTTCACTGCAATGTGTCCAGAACTCAGTATTTAACAATATCTAAGGGACAGTCTCTCCTGGTATGTCCCTCAGAGAACTCTACACTCAGCAGATCAAAACCTTCTGGCGATCCCCAGCCCCAAAGATTTCTGCTTTGCCACAACCAAAGCCTTTTCAGCTCTGGCACCTGCAAGACTTAAAAGCAGTTCCGCAGGGCCTGTAAAATGGAGCTGTTCCACCCGGCCTATAGCTGAGGCAGCAGTAACATCTAGTCTGGTCTCCCTTTGTGTTCTCTCTCACTGCTCGCTCGCTTTGTTTCTCTGTATTACTTTAATATCTACTGTTGCACCTGATGCAAAACTCACTAGGTTGTATTAACTTGTTCTAATGGTTTGGCTACCATCTGATATTGTTTTAATTCCTGATTCATTGTTTTAAGTGTTTTTATTGTTATTGTTGTTACATACCCTGAGCCTGCTTGCAGGGGAGGGTGGGTTATAACTAAAGTAAACGAAACTGAACCTTCCTAATAGTCACTGGTTTTTTTATCTTTCTGTATGTAGTTCCCATAACCTAGCATTCTAGGTCATTCAGTCTCTGGCCTCTAGCCCTTCCTTTGCCACTGTTTCCTGACCTGTGCTTCTTGCAGAGTAACAGTATGTTTACCTAAAAGTCCCAGTGAATTCAATGGGATCCCCCAGGTAACTGAGCCTAGGACTGAAATTATAGTAAGTTCTCATCCACATGGATTCTTAGGGCCAAACTAGATATATTTTTAATGTGTTTGATTTGTTACTGCATACGCAGCCCACAGTACACATGAAGTTCTCCAGAGGAGCAAATAATGCTCCCCAGCAGCATTTCAGGTTCTGAGAAGATCTTGCGGGGAGGGGGAAGGCTGAAGCCAGTTCTCCTGCCATGCCACAGTACTTGGGAAACTCAGTTGAGGACAGCGAGGGTTCCATATTGGCACTCCCTTCCCCTCCCCTCCCGTGAGACAGCTGCACTATTGGGGTTTTAGTGCCATCTTTAGCTCAACTGTTGGTCTATTGGTTTTAATCTTGTTTTATCTGATGTCTTATGATCATGTTGTACACCACGCTGAGCTTGGTGTCCAGGAGGGCAGTTGATAAATCAAATTAAATAACTGAGGGGGAATGAGACTCATAATTTTTGTAACTGCAAAATTAATTTCAGAAATCATTCTTTGATTTCCAGATACATTTAGGCATCCTTTTTTGAAAATATGCTCTTCATTTTGTAGTCATCTTAATTACTTTAAATACCGCATTCCATTCCTTCATCTATATTTCTTTCTGCTTTCCTAATTCAGTTCCAGCATCAGACATGCTCACCACAATCAACCCACTAGCTCTATGCTGTGAATAACATTACCGAAATGGCAAATCTCAAGCTCTATTTTGGAGCCCACCCTTAATGTTATGCTGCTTCATTATTCACATTCACAAATAACAGAGGGTGAGTATCATGGCTAACAATACCAACATTTTTATGTGGGTGGGGATTTTTTTTCAGACACTCAACACCAGCAAACTATCTTGTTCATGACATATGGTATGTCTAGACTTCACTGAAACGTCTTCCCCTTTTCTGTGTTTCAAACAAGGTTGAAATATTCTTCTGTAAGTTCGCGGCTTGTGACACATTTAGATGATACAGCTTTGGAACAGGGGTGGCCATTTGGCCTCTTCTTCCTTCAAGCTCACAAAAGAAGCTGCAAAAAGTTCCTCTGTTATTAATTCTGATTAATAACTTGATATTGATATTTTATTAGGATGTTTTATTTTTTGTTGACTCTCTTGAGTGTTCATTTTGAACAGATAGTGAGACATTCACATATAAATAAATATAATAAATGTATCATTTGGAAGCTGCATTCATATTACTTTCACTGATTTCTAATTTACCTGACCATCCAGGGAGGCAGCGACAGTAGCCAGTAGTTGGGTGACAGCCATCTGCATGGCTGCAGTCACAACGCTCAGCACAGTCCAACCCATAAGTACCGTCCTGCCAGAGAAGAAGAAATAATGATAAATCTTAGATATAGTGATACAGCCAGAGGTCATTTTGGGGGGGAACGCGGGGGAACGCAGTTCCCCCGGGTGAGGTACGGGGGGTGGGGCACATGATGAAGCCCCGCCCCCTGCTTCCGGCCACCCGCTTCCGCCCCTCATTCAGCCAGGAGGAGGCAGGAGAAGAGGGAGGGTAAGTTGCTTCCTCCCTGCCTCTCCCCACCCCTGCCTGCCTGGGCCAGGGAGGGCCTTCGCGGGGCTTCCTTGCACTCCCACCGGCCTTGCAGGTCCACCGCCAGGCCCCTCATGGGGCTCGGCAGTGGAGCTGCAAGGCCGGTGGTGGCGGCCGGGACTGTTGGGGGTGGGGTGTGTGGCCTTATGACACATTTCCGATGATGTCAGGGGGTGTGGCCTTATGACACACTTCCAGTGATGTCAGGGGGTGTGGCATATGCTAATGAGTTATGCTAATGAGTTCCCCTAGCTCTTTTTCTACAAAATGACCCCTGGATACAGCTAATGTGCAAGAGACTTAGGGAGAAATCTAAAGCAGGTCTACTCAGATCCAAGCCCCATGTTATTCAGTGGGGCTTACTCCCAGGAAAGTGTCCTTAGGACTTCAGCCTTAATGTTTCATATTATTCTGGAACTTCTTTAGGGGATAAAAACAATCAGAGACCACTGATGATAGCAGTTTCAAGGACTGAAATTTAGTTAAATGAACCTAGTTACTATCACTCAAATTAATGTATGTGTATGCAAAATGGAACAGTCACTAATAGCAGCTTAGGCCCTAAGCTTTGC